GAAGCTACTGTTCAACCGTAAGGGATGAAAATTCTGGTCAGATAAACAGCTTCAATAAAATACCATCTTGGGATTATCAAGGCAGGCCTGGTACACAACCTTGGCAATCAAATCGCTACGGAAACCACACGCAAAGAACCACAAGGCAAGAAGTGAGAGGGTGTCCGGCGAAGAGCATTGCATCTCACACACCCTCAGTGACGGGAGGCTTCAGCCTGAAAGCGACACCCCCCCCCCCCCAAAATGACACCACCACTGATAAGGAATGTACAAACTGGAAACTCGCTCCAAACATTTGTTTTGTCAGCTAAATTGGGATTTGGGCATGTGGGGGCCCCAATTTCACTGGCAATTTTCCTGCTCGAAAAAAAAACGGCACAGAAAAGCGGTCACATCACCCGTGTGCCAGTTCGTCGTGAAGCGGTACGCATCCCCCCCCCCCAAACACCCCTGCGCCTCAACCTACTGAAATGGGCCAGGTGAAGACAAAGGGGGGGATTTTTCAAGGGGGGGGGTGAAAAAAAAAAAAAAAAGTGAAAGCTCGTGTTCCAACCCATTTATTCAGAAATCGTTCCCTGTCCCCCTCCCCAGTTCAAGCCCTAAATATCACGTTTCCAAGGATACACAGCATGCCAGCCAATCAGAGCGTTTTACTGGACATTTATTCCGTTCAGTTAAAAAATGTCCCGCTGCTGATAATGCGCAAAATTGCAAGATTAAATCTGGAGGGCTGCCCCCACCCTCAAAGATAAGCCGAGATGGTTAAGGACCGAACTTGCGTGCCATGATGGTTAAAGATTACCGCCGTTCGTACTGCTGCCCCGAGAGCAAATGAATTAAAAAGCAGAGCACGCCTTTGTTATCCGAGGGACGCGCCGTGCTACAATGTTTAGATTTGACGCTGCGGGAGGGGGTTTGGGGGGGGGGGGGTATATTTGCAGCCGCTTTCAGAGTAAGGTAAGCTAAACCGGGCCCTCCTCAAGCAGAGAGGGGCCACAGGCTTAATCCGAAACAGCTGGGAAATTAAGTACATTAAACAGTATAGATGCCCCAAAAAACGGAAAGGAAGTGACCTAATGCTGGGGCCGGTGGCCCCGCATTGGGGGGCAGGGGGGCCGGCCAGGCAGCTGTGGGGGACGCGGGCGCTGGCATTAAGATGTCAAACACATGCAAGTCAGCATAGACCCCGGAGCCTCTCAGCCGACCCAGTCGAGGAGCGACCCCCCCCCCCCAACAGCACCTCACTCCTGTTGATCAAAGCCACAAGGGAAGTCCCCCCACCCCACCGTGGTCCTCCCATTGCAGACAGCGGCATATAAAAACAACATGCCTGATTGTTTACTTTAAAGCGGCGCGGTAAATTACATAAATGTAGGTGGAGGCGTCGTCCCTGATCAATACGCAGTGAACTACGGCCAACCGAATGCCGAAATGGGCCCAGCCCGGAAAATTAAGATCGCCATTGTCGACAGTCGAACACTTATTCCACTACAAAACAGACCATCCCCACTTGCATAAAGAAGCCGCAATCGTGTTCAGAGGAGTGACCTGCCGCTTATTTGACAAACATCAGCGGCAGGATCTCTGCGCGCGTTCCTGCTGTATGGACACCGAAGAGCGACTTTCGACGTTTCACGGTCGTCGTGCCACGTTTATCCGCCAGATGAATGACTGCCGAGATGGTTCTCCTTCAAATTTGCCGACTAAACACCACCGGGAACGGTTTGCGAGCCTATGGACTTCAGGAGTACTTCTGCAGCTTTCGGAGTATCCAAGTAGCCAAGTGAGCCGCTCAGACACTTATTGAGAGTTACGGTGCCCATCACCAGGGTGCCATCCCTGTTACTATGCACCTTCAATCTCAGGGCACGTTTAGACACAGGGGGAGGAAGGGAAAAAAAAAAAAACCTTTGCTCAGAACCTCTCGTCAAACGTGGACACATTTCACGCCATTCCCAAATGTGCGTCTGGGCTTGATTAATGGGACATTTTATTGCATCGGGGAAAATAAACACTCAGGAGGGATTTCCACGCAACCCTAATGCACACTCAGCTGCTTAAAGGTACATTTTCGAGCCCAAGTCCATCATTTCCACAGCCACGATTCAGCACTCGTCGACAGGATGCACTAAGCGCCAACTAAACTGACCACACCAGACCTGCATCAACAGTCAGGTGTTTTCAGTCTAAAGATGCTTTTCCATGTGTGCCAAGAATTCACAAGCAGCATTTGGAAACGTTAAGGGATGGCAACAAAAAAAGTACTAACCAATAAAACTCCAAAAAAATATTTGAGTTATACCATTATTCATCTTTGCAGATGTTTCATTTTATTAAAGGACTCAAACTGCCTAAAATGAAAAGAATACGGCCATAATTCATTTTATATGTATTAGGGGTCATCAGTACAAGATTAATAACACGTACACATCTTGAGACGAAACCTGCACGCCAGTACAATAGCCCAGATCCTTCCCCGATCCCCCTGCGCACGCAGGGGTCCGATGTTTTCACACCACAGAGCTCAAACTGAAAGGCAGCTTTTCAGTCGAAAGCGCAGACAAACGTCACACGACGCGGAGTCGGAACCCCGCGGCAGCACCAGATGCACTCAAATGACCCCGCTGACTTTATTGTGGAAAAAACGCTCAAATGCACCAAGTTCAGGCAGCAATGCATATCGGACCATCAAAAAAATAATACTACTTCAGGGAGACCTCCGCAGGGTGACAGTGATTGTTATTTTAACAATGCATAGGAAGGCACACTTCCAGGACGTTTTGCGAAACTGTCTCCCTGGCAACAGGGTTCCTCGAAAGAAAGTCAATTATCAACCTGAACTAGAAATGAACAGATTTCAGACGGTAAGCCTGATATTCATGCCATCACATGGTCGAGGGGAAATAAGCAGGCACGGTATTGCGTTTTCATGCGCCTTTGATTTCCGATTTTTAACAGAGGTGTAAGAGTGATATGCATGATAAATCGATAAACAGTCCGGAACCTGTGGAAGCACGAAAGGCGCAACAGATCTGTAGCCTTATCGATTCCAGTGGATAGACGAACATGCCCGATTTTAATCTTGGCATAAATTTATTAGTCAATTTCCATATCTGATATAGGCCTATGCCTATCATATGATCGCGTTGACGTTAGTTTCATACATTTGATGCCAATACTGGATTAGCCCATGTGGTCTCCAGTACTTATAAATTTGGCTCAAAACGCGTAGAAATTAAGGAATGGAAAAAAGTAGTTTTTTTCTATTTATCGGAACTGGTAACACGAATCTCCAGCAGTACTTTTGTCTGCAGCTTGATAACAATATAACTTTGCACGTCAAAACCTGTTTAAAGCCCTGATTGAATGGCGATTAGCTGCGGACAGCTTAACGCATGGTAAATCTTATAGCTGGCATTTTTAAAATCTAGAGCAACTGAATCGAATTTGCAACCATCTTGGGTTAAAGTTGATACCATTAAAGTCCATTTTTGCTGGCTGGTCAAACTGCGTCACTTAACACGCAAGGATGCGTTACACTGGAAATCGCCGAGGAAATACCGGGCGTTGACATAACTACGGTCTGGGGTTTCGAACCCGTGTCCCTCTCCGGCATTTCGGGACGGGGACCTGCGGGCATCCAGGAAACACTGCTCCTAAGCGGAAACCGGCTTTCCCCCGGACCAGACTGCCATGCGATCCGGCGAGCCCTTTCCCAGGCACAGGCTGCCCGGCGACAATCCATGTCAGGGCGAACCCAAACCCACCAGCTACACCGGGAATAAGCATCAACCCACACCAGCAAATATCATTCCGTACCAATTGATCCCGCATGATCACACGCTACGGCGAAGCCCTTTAATTCCTCTCCGCCAGACCAAGCAACCCTGGCCCACATTTATTCCTTTCTTTTTTTTTTTTTTTTTACGACATTTAAAAAAAAAAAAAAAAAAAAAAAAAAACACAAATGTCACGCCACACCTAGCAACATGCGTTTCGATGCGGGACTCCCGTCCCCTGCGACTGCTGCCATTGTATGTGGCACAGAAACGGTCTTAAGGGAGCCGGACCCAAATGGGAGCCAACGCCGCCCGAAAAGCCGGTGCCAGCGGACTCCGCTTCATTTAATTAGCTAAAAACTGGTTAGACTGGAGCTTCCACAGAATGGACACGATTCAATGAATTAGACCTAAATCTCGTCGTTTCCGTCGGATCGCTTCCCAGTTCCTTTGATACACGAATATTCACGCTCTTATTTCGCTATGCAGCGCCATTCAGAAAATGCAACAAAAATAATAATCAGCTGTATCTTGCAAAGGCCAGTGCTTCGATGCTGCGCATTTGTATGGACAGCCACGGAACATATCTCAATGCATATTCAGAGCATGTTAGTATTATGAACAATTTCAGTAAACTTCCGAATCGCCGGGATTTTAAGTCCCAATACCAGGCTAAGTCTCCCGTATAGGCTACCCCGGGGTTTTGCTCAGGTGCTAAAATGAACAAATCTTAACGCAATCCACGCATTTTCCGCTGCCCGAAACTGCCCTGCCGTGCATTGCATTGGAATGACACACAAAACTAGCCTTAAATCAGAAGTCAACACAAGTATAATAAATATAAGACAATACCTTTTGCGCGGACGAAATACGGTGCAGACCAGTTGCCCGCTCTCCGTATAGTATTGCATGAAATGTCTGAACAGAACGTTTTGCAGAGATCCTTAATGTACATTAGTTCTTAAATTTAAGAAATAAAACTTGTGGGGGGAAAAATGAACCACTCACGACAAACCAAAGACCGCAAAATGCAACTACAATCAATCTTTAACCTTTTAATTAATACTAGATGTGAGAATCTCAATTGCATCAACGTGCATTCAATTTCACTCTGAAGGGGGCTGCTCGGGGCACCCACAAATCAGCATCAATTTTCAATACTATGGTGCACAATATCTATAGTACAAGCGCTTCAATTTTAAAGTAAAAAATCAGCCTTACCTCTTTTTGGTCTTGGGAAGCTTTCATGCAGGTGAAAAACTACTTTTTCCACAAAGTGCTGGATGTTGCTGTGCTCCGGTCCTCTGACGAACACCGTCCAGTCATGTGTAAAACCCTCCACGGTAGGTTTCTTTCTAACTTGGGCACGGTGACCAAGCTCTAATTTCACCTGAACTGCACCCTACAACATCCAGATAACAGAAGACGCTACTATTCAACAAGGACATGCTCTGATTGCATAGACTGCCCGCAAGAATTATAAGCAACTATGCAATATTGCGATCTACTCCTATGCTTACACGCATTCCGAATAAGAGGCATGCAGGCGATCATAACATTTCGTGCAAACGACTAGATTTTATATTAAGTTATTATAATAAAAATCAATGACGAAGTCTCCCAACAAAGCATATGGAAATGTAGACCAATCGAGATTCTGGCTGTACCAACACAGAACATGACATTATTTTGGGGAACGCGAACACGTATTTCGTTATGAAAAATAACCATTAATTCTTAAACGTCATTTGTCTTTATATATTGGCATCGGCACTTTCTTCACAGACATGCTCTAATACGTGAGAAATGCGGTGCACTAGACGCGCTTCTCAGCTAAACTAGTTTCTACTGTACTTCTATGGAAATATGGCTGGATATCTGCGGCACAAACGGACTTGAGCGCTACCACCCCTCCTTTAAGGCAGAAAACAGCATCGTGCGGCGCAGCCAGACGCAGGGCCGACGGCCGCGGCGTACTCACCGAGCTGGCCATGCTTGCGGCCGCGTGTTACTGTTATTTCATGGAGAATTTGGTATAAATGTGGAGACAGAGAGGCGCAGGAGGCTGATGGCGGACATGGTCTCTTAATTGAACTCAGTCCGAGTTTCAAAGGCTGAGGGGCTGGCAGGACGCATGCGCAGTTTCCGTGCTCCGACGAAGGAGCGAGCTACAGAACGGGGCGACGGCGAGCCAATGAAACGGACTAAGCGTGCAGACAGCCAATGTCATGCAGCATCTAACTAGCCCACCTAGAAGCCACAACCTTATGAGGCTTACGGGAGGAGGAAAAAAAAAGAAACTAAAACGGGGGTGTCAGTTACAGGGGCATTATTCCTCCTCTGTTACAAAGGCGTGTAAAGTAAAGGGACGGAATTATATGCGATGCACAATTGCCGCACAAGGGCTCGCGCTTCTCGTGCGCCTTCGACTTTGCCAAGCGGAGGCACGTGCGTTTAGAGTGAATAATCCAGCTCCATGATAAACTTCAAAACAGGCAAAGATGTACTACGTGCCGGGATTGATTCACAAATGCCATTATCTTATCTGCTGAAGCGGCACAGAAACGAGGTTTGTCCAAATAGGATCTTTGAGCCATAAACTGTATATTTTTATGGAAAAAAATATGAGACATATAAAATAAACGTGGTTCTATTACAATTTAGATCCCTTAATATGGAAAGTACAAAATAAGCTTTTCTAAATGTATTTCATCGTTTGGTGGATAAAACAAGAGCGAAATGTTAGTGCACAAAATAAATGGGTCTACATCAACCATTCCTTTTGGTCTAACTCTTGAATTTCACCTTTAACCTATTCACACTTCCAAATGATAAAACTCGTTATCGCAAAATGTCGGGACATATGGCCTATCAAAGTAGGCTGTGATGTATAATTCAAACAAGGACTGTTCCAAAGAAGAAAAAAAAAAACTTTTTTTTCCCACAATTCTAAAATAAACCGGTTCGGACATGTTCACCATCCACCGATCAATGGCTCACAGATCAGTTAACGGATGAAGTGAAGTGTACTTTGACAGTACTAAGGTAACCCAACACGACCGATAGGAGTTCGGCTAGCAGCTGGCACGTTGGAGATGGACACATGACACTGCTCGCTGCAACGCGTAAAACGAACTCTTGAAGTGTTATCTAGCTGTTGATTTGAATTCGGGCTGGCGATGTTCACTGTTGACAGGGACTAATTCCTATTGATTTTATTTCCTCATCCATTATAATATTGATATGCGGATTAGAAATTACTTTAAATATTGTAGATTTTTGCCCTGCTATAGCTCATTTGCAGAATCAAAGTTGATAGGGATTTTTAACATTTAATTGTTCTGTCAAGTCTTTTGTTTATTGTAGGAATAATAGAGTAGAGCTTAACCTCCTATAATAGTGCATCATATTGCCCAATTATTTATTCTATCAATTCAGCATCCAGCCATTCATTCTGGACAGGACACAGACACACTCGTATGGTACAGGGCACATACACAAACACATTGATGCGCTACAGGGCACACGCACAGACATACTCGTGCGCTACAGGGCACATACATAGACACACTCAAACATTACAGGGCATATACACAGACACATTCCTGCGCTACAGGGCACATACACAGACATACTGATGCGCTACAGGGCACATACACAGACACACTACATGTAATTTAAAGATGACAGTATTGCTGTCTGTCTCTGAACTGTAACAGGAAATCCGAGTGCCCAAGGGAAACCTAAATGACACGGAGAGAACACGTAAACACCACACGCAGAGCAGAGGAGGGATTCAAACCCCCAATCTTGGAGGTGTGAGCCAAAAGTGCTACCCAATAAGCTGTCCAATGTTTATTAAATACATACATACACGCACTCCATGATCAGTTTATTAGGCACACCTGCCAGCTAATGCAAACAGTCTGCTCCTACTAACAGCCAATCGCGTGCCTGCAAGCAAACGCATACAACATGCAGATGGGGTCAAGAGGTTCAGTAACCGTTTGACTAAGCAATGCAATGCCTCAGACGCCTCCCTAAGCGATTTTTGAATGTGGTGTGATTGCTGGTGCCAGACGTGGTGGTTCCAGCAGCAGAAACAGTCATCCTCCTGGGATTTTCTTGCACTGTGCTGTCTACAGTTTACAGGAAGGGCGTGACGAATAAAAGAAAATCTAGTCAGTTGCATTTCTGTGGCCAAAAAACACGGATGCTTTGGTAAGGCGACGCATTTTTGACAAGGCACATTTCATGTCAATTTGCATGGGTAAAATTCAGTTTTATTCACTGCAGCTATACAAGATGAATATGCAATGCTCTGAAGAAGCAGAGTGATATCTGGCAGTTTGCATGCTTATACATTTAAAATGCGGCTGGCATCCCATCAGAGTGTCACCTATTTCAGTCATTCTCAACCCAGTCCTCATGGACCCTGAGACAGTCCACGTTTTTGCTCTCACCCAGCACCTAGTACACCTGACTCGGGTATTTGGAGTTCTTGATTGACTGGAAGCTAGGAGGGAGCAAAAATGTGGACTCCTCAGGGTCCATGAGGACTGAGTTGAGAAGCATTGCCCTATCTTGTGACCTGTGCTGCCACAACGACCCTGTACTATATATGAAGCTTAAGCTTTAGCATTTTGAACATGTTTTCTATTGGAATATGTGTAAAATATTCATAAAAATGAGCTGCAATATGGGTTTGGTCCCATGATTGTTAGTTACGTCTTTACAATTTAAAATAAACGTTGATAAATTATCATGTTTAATGCAAATCATTCTCTCTACATTGAGCTTAATCGACAGATAGGCTAATCACTATGTTTTGAGATTTCCACTTTTTGCCACAATAAGATTTGGTGATAATTTATTTGAGCAATAATTATATAGGGTTGATTTTATTTTATTTTTTTCTCCTTGAACATTCATATATGAGGAGAGCAACTCACACCAAGAAAATCAGGATGTAGATGGATGAATGATTGTATGAGTTTAAATTAGGAAAATATAATTTTTTTTTAGATTCTAGTATTTTCAATACTACTAGATGGTAATTTTATGGCGTGTAGCCAAAGTTTAAATTGTAGCAGCATACGGGTCTTTCATTACGCCCTTACGTTCTGGTGTTTGTTCAAAGTATTACAGCGAATCGTTGTAGCCTGAATGGCACTGACACGGTGTTCTGAATTTTTATATTTTACTTAGATAACCCAACATGGATTAACAAACGTCATCGTGCATTATCGGGGGTGCATTGTCAACAACGGAAATGCTAAACATTCAACTTCCCCTCTCATCAAAAGTAGGACAGCTGATGAGAACATATCACTCCGCATGCCATGGCCTGCATCTATCAGGAAACTGTGAGACATTTTAGTGCTTTAATTAACACAATAAGCATTAAGGGAAAAACAGAGCTATAAGCGTTTTATTAACTAAAACAATAATATATAACCGTAGGGAACTGAATTTATTAGTTATTTCAGTATTTGTTTAAAAATGGCAACTATTCAAAATAAAACGTAAAAATATATTAACAAAATGTTTTAAATACATAATTTATATTATATAAATTGTATTCCACAAACGTCCCAGATCTGATATATATGTAAATTGTTTGATTATAAAACATCAAACTGTATTAAATTAGTTTAGAAATCAAGCAGTATTGCTCTAGCGATCAAAAGAAAGCAAACACGTAATTCTCGCTGCTTTTGGGAAGTTTGAGCCTATCGAGTTTCCGTACGGCAGTACACGCTGTGCGACGTTGGCTTGGAGGTGCTGTCTCTGATAGTCTTTTACGAGTAAGTAAAGCTACATTTTGATCCTTTCGCAGGCTGTTTTGTTGGGGTTTACAAAATATAACTTGTTTCACGTTTCACTATTGCCTGTGAGAAGAGCAATTTGCGCATTTTTGGCATCTCCCATAGGTGAAAAGATGAATTAGCTAAGGCTAACTAACTTTCTGTAGAACTAACTCCAGCCAGCTAAAGTTCTTTCCTTTCAGATTTGATTAAAGTTAGTCGCATTTTGTTTGTAGTTACAGTGGAGTCCTATATTGCATAGGTAGTACCTTTTAATTGCTTGTATAAAACCTGTTTAATGGCAGCTGCTTGCTGTCTCTCTGAATCCAAGTATCAGACATAGTTTAGTTTTCATAATGCAAATATGATTATACGTGCTTATAACTACCGTTATAGTACCGTTAGCCCTGACAGCGAAAGAGTATGAAATGCTGTTTACAATCACCGGATATGTTCACCGATACTGTTATCCGCATATGTTTAACGCAGCTATGCTCATTGTAATGGCACGGATAATCGCATCAATGATGCATTGTTAGTCAGACAAAACAGACCAGAGCTCAGCTGCACACCTTCATAGAATCCTCCGGAATATTTTAATTTACCTGTTGTGCTGACAAAGCGTGGTACAAGCACAGCAACAGCATGTTAATATGCACAATATTAATGTGCATTACACAACCTCTGGGAACCCGTACCATTCATTGTCTCATGTAATTAACGCACTGTAAGCCCGACTGTCCAAACAGAAGTGGTGACATTCTCTTCCAAATCAGTTCCCTTGCAAATGTAAAGTTTGAATGGGAAAAAGTACAACACTTAGGATTCTGTGTGGTTGAGCAGCACTGAAGCAACATTTATCGCTGTTGATTTTAACATTCTTGCCTCCCAAAGTTTACAAGTCTCCCTGGATATATTGTCACAGTACAATCAGCATTTTTTTTTTTAGAACACAATTATTCAGCTTTTTTGATTTATGAGAATTTCAGTGCTGTTGGAATGTTTCCTAAATGATAAGAGAATGTCAGCCCTCCAGCGGACCCCCCCTGGCTGCGTGAGGCGGCCTTACCTTGTCCGAGGCCCCGCAGGCACTTCTGTGGTCACACCGTGGGGCAGGCGAGCTGTCACAGGAGGCTGCAAGGGCTGCAGTGCCGGTGGGCCGAACGGCAGCCTGTGTCTTACCGGCTCTGATCGCGTGTGCTTCTCTCTGTGTCTGGGTGGGGGTGGGGGTGGGGGGGGGGGGGGGGGGGGGGGGGTGGGGGTGTGACAGGCAGTGGGCGTGCGCTGTCTATCACACTCCCCGTTTAGAGTGACCCAGCACATGTTAATCTGCCTTGGCGCCGTGCCGGCCCTGCCCGCATGACAGCTGCTATGCCCGACTTCCC